GGTGGCGTAGTAATTCTTTCAGAAGTGAAGTTCCCGTCTTGTGCATTTCTATTAGACGACTTGTATTAACATCCTCTTTAACTGAAGCCATTGCGAAAGTGCTTGTAATAATAATAATAATAATAATAATAATAATAATAATAATAATAATAATAATAATAATAATAATACATTGCATACATATGAATTAAATTAATTTATCTTATTAAATAATTAGAAGTAAAAACATGAAAATGCATCTTTGTTATCAAATTTTTACTAATTTGAAATAGTATAGACCAATCTAATACACCAACAGATTTACAAACCAATCTTCATTTTAAACAGATGCGCGTTTTTCAAAATTACGAAAAGCCGTATCTGCTTTCAGTTCCATCTGATCTTTGTTTTTGTGGAAAAGGCGATGTTTTATCCCATAAGTTATCCCAAAATAGCATAAGCTTGCAGCAGAATGATAATAGATCACATTAAGACTGGTTCCTCATTTAGTATTGTTGACAGATTAAGAATGGATTCTTGTTTAATATTGTTCACAGGAGTACATGTAAAAAATTATCGCGTATTCTTTAAAACGAAAACTGGCGTACACTTGAGAAAGAAAAAGAAACAATTCACATATTTGTTTATTCAAACTATTAAAACTAGCGCTGAAATGAGACATTCCACTATTTTCCATACTTTGCTTTCTGGTGGTCTAAACTTGGTCAGATCCTCTGTCAAATGTGATAGAGCGCACGTTGAAAAATTAAATATTTCAATGGCGTATTATTCAATATGATTTCTGGACATTAACTGTGCTTTTTTTTCCACGTAGGTGTACTATGGACTCGTAGTCTTACAAAAGGAGATCTTTACTACTACAGTGCGGGGGTCCTGGGTAGCCAAGTGGTCTAAAGCCTTGGCTGTCATCTCACCTTTGCGTTGGTTTGTGTTTCGGGCTCGACCATTGTGGGTATTTGAGAAAGCTTGCCAGTAGTTTCCTGTGGGTCAGTGGTTCTTACCGGGGATTTACACGGATTCTTCTTCCACCAGTTATAGGTCTCCGCCACGTAAGCCTATCTTGCGCTGACAAATGGAATACAACTATATAAAAAAATTACCACAGCGCAAGTCTATGCGATACTTAACCACCTAATAAACAAATTACTTTGCTACAAGTTGAAATCTCATTAAAATCAAAATGTAATTTGTTACTTCAAACACTGACAGTTAAATAGTGCTCAAACAACTCCTCAATTACCCTTCTTCAAGGGATTTTCTAACTCCAAAAAGTTATTACTGATTGGAAGGTTCATGTAATAATAAGAAATCTAGAGCATGGCAGCTTTGCAACTTTTCTCTCATCGTTCAATTTCCATCCCCTGCTCATATGAAGTGAATCAAATTCTTAATTAAATTTACTTGTACATGATATCAGAGACATTTTATGGTAATTGCGGACAATCATTAATGCACCGACGGATGGACAGTATCAGAAATGTATCACTTAGTCATCGAACAGTGTGCAAATAATAAGTACTTCATTTATTCAATCAGTCATCAACAAGAAGATCGATTGATTGAGCGATCGATTGATTGGGTGATTAGTTTATTGTTTGATATTTAATTTCACATTTAAATGAAATAGCATTTAAAGCGGAGGTAATTAGTGTAAGTTAATCTGGTCAGAGACACACATGGCAACTGATTTATGCTGATAAGGATCAGATTTGAAATCGTTAACTCATTTTTAATTTGATACACTATTATTTGCAAGGCCATGACTCAAGGAGATGAAGAAGCTGGTTCCCTTTCTCCAAAGCAAAGCATGTTACTATCTTATATAATGCTTTGTTTACTTTACCTGATCCAAGATATACACTAGGGTAAATATCAATATAAGTTTAAGGAGTTATATAAAGACAAGGCGATTTTTTAAAATGATGTGATGTAAGCAGCTCTACATGAACACGGTGTAAATGCAAAAGAAATTGTTTCTACAAAGGTTAATTTTAGAGGGCATTTTGTCAAGGACAAAATAAACAAACAACAAGCTAAAACTTATTTGACAGTTAAAAAATATTTACCGAGAATACACCCCCCCCTCACTATCACACATACACGCACGTTACTGCATACCAACAGATTACCATGAAATTTCGATTCTGGTAACTAACGAGTGTGTGTGTGTGTGTGTGTGTGTGTGTGTGTGTGTGTGTGTGTGTCGCAATGTACAATTTTAACATATCATTTACCTTCAGGTAATTGGTATTCATTTGGAACTGATGTATTTTTGTTTGCTACTTACCTCAAATCCCAAAGGCTGTTGCAAACTTCCCACCAAATGTTCACTTTTTCAAGCTCAATTCTGACATTGTTAAATTAAATGTTTGATATTTTGGGACAGCTGACCATTGTTATTGACCGTATTTTTCACTACTGAATTGAATACTTGCAGAGACAGTGTAACCTAACTCTATTGATAATCACCTTAACGCTTCATTAGCTCTTTGCCTTCTTGGGGCCAAACGTCAATCGGTACTCATAGGAGTCATGGGTAAACGTTTCACTGGTTTCATGTGCATTCAGCGATGATGTAAACAGCAGGCAGTAATTTTCGTGTGATTTGTGGTAATAATGCAATTTTCATACACTCTAACTGATTATCTCTTTTCAAATATATTGATAATTGAAAATCAATATTAGACATCTAATTTGTCATTCACGAACAGGGCACACACTCTAAACAATTGCGGTAGTACTTTAAAACATATCAACGACAAATGATCTCTTATTCACATATTATATAGTCCACACTTTGGTTTTAAAGAATGGATCAAAACCAGTTAATGTGGGTCTGTCCGTTTCTGTTGTGTGTATCAGTATCAGATTTCAAAACGAGACTTTGTGCTTTTACTTATACTGCAGATCGATTTTAGTTAACTTGAAACATTTCGCTCAGTCTAAAACTAGCACTCAATCTAAAACTAGTCCTCAGTTCTGTAAAGACCAGACTTTACATTCGGATGAATTACTTTGAACTAGATGTGTTGTAATAGCGAACGATTGTGCATCGTGAAGTATTCCTTAGTTTAGTACCAAATTTAACCTCAATGCGTTGCTTTTCTCTTTTTTAATGTAACAAAACATTGTGGGAAACATAACAAATAAATAAATCCAGCGATACGTTGGCTGTGCTTTGTATAGGATACAATAGGTTATTACCATAGCTGTTTGTATTGCAATCACCTTACTACCTACTTGCAACAAGATCGCTTGGGTGGCCTGGTAGTTTGAGCGTCCGCCTCGGATTATTTTGATTTTGTGACCTGGCGGCATACATGTACCTTATTATGGCTCCACCTATAGCCATTCTGATTAAAATCATATCTCCGCTATTATGTATGAAGATCCGACAGAGGTCATGTGTTCTTGTAACATGTTATTACCATAATCTCTAATTTTATCAACAAATTAGACGAATTCTTATATCTTCGCGTTTGGGGGCAGAGAAATGCAAAGCATAAACGTGTTCCGAACGATTTGTTTCACTTTCAGATTTTTTAAGCTTCATTTTCATTGGCTAATTCGAAGGTCACCAGAACATGGCCCTTAAGCGGTCGTCGTCAGATCTTCAAGCTCATACCAATCACATTGGAACTGATAATATTAGTTGTCCCCTTAATCCAAGTGAAGTTCAAGACAAAACACTCAACGCTTCATAACAGAAACTGATGAATACTATTGAAAATTACTAACTTATCGAAAGTCAAGAGTCTCTTTAAACAATGACGGCTTTACCGGGGGTTTGAACTCCTGTCATCTGTCGGCTGTTCAGATTTTGAACATTATTCAATGGTTTCTTCTCCCTTCAAGATTCAGGCACTGATACAGTACCAGAAACCTATGTTAAACCTCATTCTGGCAATGTTATCATTGACAAGAGCATAATGAGAAAATGCACCTCTATCAAGGTCTGTGTGTTAGACGCCCTTTAGGTGGCGTTTCTAGTTATGCGGCCGATTGAAGATATAATAATGAATGCTGAGCACTTACTACAGGGGCCTACTATGTTTAAATCCAAAATGTTCATGTCTTTTATTTCTAAATGAAATTTATTTTTCAAGGATAATTTATGACCTTTACTAAACGGAATTAAAAAATATTTTGGTTTACAAAATGTGAGTAGCAGATGCATGTAATTTGCATTTTTAAAATCAAAATCTGACATGGCCATTTACACAAACAAGGTCTATCTCTAGAAACAATTATAACTCTTAAATTTAATACCCCAAAAGTATGCATGTAGCTCATTTTAATTTTCAGAATAATAATGCTACCTTTATTTTGCTTAACTGCATATATCGGAAAAAGTCTTTGTTTTAAATGTGGACAAAACTCTTTAAACATAATATATACCTAGTTAAAATGATGACTTTTTTCAATAGATACTTATGTCGAGTTTCTCCTTAAAAGTTACTGACAATGTTATCTATGGACCTTGACATTATACAGTAATATTATCAGTTTCAATGCTGTATTAATTGGGGCCCCCTGATAGTTCCAATATTTTTATTTTCAAAAATCTAAATCTTGCTTACCAAAGCCTTTTCCTCAAATTTTCATTTTATCATACTAAATCAGGGTCCAAATATTTCTCTCTCTCTCTCTCTCTCTCTCTCTCTCTCTCTCTCAAAATTGGGGGTAGCGATATTGCTTTTTTATTTTTCTTTACAGACCAAGGAAGGAATTCAATATTGCAGAACTTTCAATCTTTTCGAATAGCTAATACTTGTGTCTCGACTGTTTTCGATGCTTCATCATTGTTATTCGAAGAGAGAGAGAGAGAGAGAGAGAGAGAGAGAGAGAGAGAGAGAGAGAGAGAGAGAGAGAGAGAGAGAGAGAGAGAGATCATGCATGATGTCCTACCCAATTACATTAGCCTGACACCAGGCCGACCAGTCCTAACACTAACCTCCTAATGCATAGCAGCTGTTAATACCATTTTTGTAAATCCTTGGTAGGACTAGCCCGGGGTTCGAACCTGCAACATCCAGCATCCGAGGCTGACGCTTTAACCACTAGGCCATTGGAGAGGTCATCATGAAATGGAAGTGGATACCAAACATTAAGCTAATACTATAATTCACGTCTCTAATTTTTAAAGCAAGTGGATAAGAGAACAGACAAACACGTATATATAAATCTGAAATAACAAACTACTTCGAATGAAGGGAGTGCTTAACCTATATATTTATTTATTTGTAGAATAAAAACACAAAAGAAAATTATAAGACTTTGGCTTGAGCAAGAATATATTTGTGGACATTGTTACAAATTTATCGAAGTTACCAGTAAATAATACATTTTGCATAAGTTTCCTTAGTGAAAGATTACATTGCCGTATATTTTCACTTATGAGTCCAGTTCAATTGCAAGCTGGATAGGCCCAGATGTACCATCTCGTAATGGGAGCCCCGAGTGGCCGAGTGGTCTAAAGCGCTCTCCCTTACGGATCACTGCCATTTCACCTCTGCCTGGGTTCGAGTTATTCGGCGAATGGAGATATGTGAGAAATCTTGCCTGTAGTTTTTCGTGGGTTGGTGATTCTTTCCGCGGATTTCTCTGTTTTTTTTCCTCCATCATTAATACTGGCCGCCATATATAGCCTATTGTATGCTGAAAAATGACGTAAAGCCCCAGATTTTGATCACTGCAGTTTGATAGGAGTATTCAGTAGAACAAACATTACATACTCTTATGCAGCGACAGATCAGAATCTACAGTGTTTGAAGTTGGACTGGTACTGGATTTGTCTTCAAATTTGTTGAAAATTTTGCCAAGATTTCGTTGAATTTATCTCACGGACTACAAAAATGTTAAATGGAATCAAATATATTATTTTGAATTTTCCTAAGTTTTGTTAATATTCATATTCCAAGAGTAATTAACAAATAAAATGGGACACATTTTGGATGGATCGAAAGAATCGTGCCAGTTACCCAATGGAGTTGAGTCCCTTTATCAAACGGTGCAGTTGTTTTTCTTTTAAAATTAGCAACACATTGGGAATGTTTTATTTTTGCAAGAAAAATCTATCTCTTTTGAAAATAATAAAATGTCCTTGAACACAGTTTAAAAGCAAGACTCTCTTGAAAGAACTGACACTATTGTCCTTAAAGAATTTCCTGGAATTAAAAATAAGTTGATTTCTTCTTAGCTGCAGAAAGTTGAAACCATCTCTGACTTTCTTGAGCAGTAACATTTTCAAAACAGTCACTAGGGCAGGCATAACAGATGCAATCAGCATCATTTTTCATATAGGGCAAACTGCACATTAGAAAACCTTTTGGAGAATTAGTGACATAATTTTCAATATAATCATTGTGGTAGTCATACACTGTGCAGACATTTCATTTAGAAGCAACTAGAGATTGTGGATGGAACATGACCACGAAATTATAACATAATATTAAAAGATGGCCAGCAAGGCAGCCATATCACAATCATTTTCATTCAGAGAGAACTAGACATATAAGAAATCTTTCTACAAAAACTCTCCACTTCAATACGACCTTCCATTTTGTTAGAGAAGTGACAAGAAAAGTTTCAAGGAGGCTGCCATGGAAGGCATTTTTGAGCTCATTACAACATCATTTTCATTTAGTTCTAACTAGACACCATAATTAGACTGATGGTGAAAATCACATGTCAATCTTACTTTTCATTCCGGAGAAGTAGCAATAACAAGATTTTCAAGATGGCTGCCATAGTTTCCATACTGAATGTCAAATTGGAACCATTTTTATTTTTAGTATGGACTAGTATCTTAAGATGTCTTCTAGTAAAAACCAAATGTTGACTTCTATTTAGGAGGAGTAGCAGTAAGATTTTCAAGATGTCAACTGTGACAGCCATATTAAATGTCCGACTGGCAATTTATTAAGACCTTCTGGAGACCACAATATGACTTCTGATGAAAACCCCATGCCATAAGATGAAAACACCATGCGAATATGTCCAAGCTTAACAAGATTGTCAATGTAGTCACCATACTGGATGTCCAAGCAGAACCATTTTTATTTAGGACCAACTAGACATGGTAAGAAGTCCTTTAGTGCAAACAATATGTTGATATGACAAGCCATTCAGACTGAGTAGTGATGACAAGATTTTCAAGATGAATGTTCCAGCAGCCATACTAGATGTTTAAGTACAACAACTTATATTTGGAACCGGACAGACATAAGAAGAGGTATTCTAATGACAACCCTAATGTATATAGGACTTGCCATAGAGAAGGAATAAAATGATTTTCAAGATGGCCATCAGCAGCACTTTCTGACTGGCACCATTTTGTTTTAGGACTAACTAGACCTTTTAAGATATCTTTTAGGAAAGACCCCATCTTGATATAACTAGTCATTCAGAAGGAGTAGTGATAACGAGATTCTAAAGAGGGCTACTTTGGTGATATTGTTGGGTGATCAAATGGAACAACTTCATTGTCAACCAACTGGATATCATATCAAATGGAACAACTTCATTGTCAATCAACTGGATATCATATCAAATGGAACTTCATTGTCAACCAACTGGATATCATTTCAAATGGAACAACTTCATTGTCAACCATCTGGATATCATATCAAATGGAACAACTTCATTGTCAACCAACTGGATATCATATCAATGGAACAACTTCATTGTTAACCAACTGAATATCATATCAAATGGAACAACTTTATTGTCAACCAACTGGATATCATATCAATGGAACAACTTCATTGTCAACCAACTGCATATCATATCAAGTATTCTGGTTAAAACCACTTACAGACAGGACATTCTGCTCTGGAGTAAAATGATAACAAGAACTTCAAGATGGCTGCTAAGGTGGCCATGACAATGCCTGAAGAACAAACCAGTTTGTTAAAGGAAGGTGTAAATATTAGGTTTATTAATGATACAGTTCATATCACTTTAGAATTACTGCTGCCTGGTATCTAATTATTGATTGATTTTGATAAAGTTCATCATTCCATTTCATGGAAATTCATGCATAATATTTTAACATTTTATATTTTTCAATCAATGAAAAGACAGTGGATAAAACTTATTGTTGTAATATCTCTTCAATGTCTTTATACCTGAATTTTTCAATGCTTTTTGAGGCTGTAGATAGGGTTAACCACTATTTCCATATATTTTTTAATATCTGCAGAATTTTTCTAAATATTAAAATACAATAAAAGTATAAATTAAACTGAATGAAACAGTTTGCAGACAATACTACTTTCATTCTTGATGGCCCTTTTGAAACTCTTAAATCTTAAATTGATGTATTAGACTTATCGGCAAGGATCTCAGGCCTGATATTATCAAAACAAAAGCAGTCAGCATAAGAAATAAGAAGTGCATGAACCTTTCATTATAGGTTAAAATTGCAATACTGAATTTACTCAACTGGGTATAAAGTTCTGTCAACTTTAATGGTACAGATAAATGTGAAAGAAAAACACAAATGATACAAAAGTTTCTGAGTAACTGGGCAAAATGCACCCTAACTGGTAAAATAACTGTTTTGAAACCCATATTGATCCATTTGTTTATCTCTTTACCAAACTCCGCATAAATTCTTCTTAATGAACTGAAGAAAAAAAAATTTCACATTGTTATTGCAGTCAGAAGTAGATATATTTAAATGACAGATTTTGTTTTAGAACATCCATTAAGGAGGATTAGCAATGATAGAGATATTAAAACATTTATATTAGCTCTAAAAGTAATTTGGATTCATGCACATCTTAAAACTTGAAGAACATCTGTTCACTTGTTTGAATAACAAATTTGCAAGATCAAAACACACTGCTATATAAGGCTATGAATATACAGGTAAAATATCAAAGGAGATAAAGGAAAAAAAAAACCAATATGTTTTGACATGATGTTTTTTTGATGTGAAAACTTTTAATACACTGAAAGATACCTCAAACAGGTGATCTTATGATAACATACATGTGGATGAAAAAACTAATAAAGATAAATACAGTACCCATCTTGTACAAGAAATGGATGAAAGATAATATTATTAAGTTATCTATGTCCTCAAATACCAAGGAAGTTTTCTTGACATTGAAAGTTTTAAATCAAAGTATGACATCAATAGAAAACTTCTTGCCATTCAAAATGTCATTCTGTCTTCAAGGTCATTATAAAGAAAATTCATAAAACTGATTATAGACATGAATGCCAGATATTCCTTCACCATTTAAAAATTGCTATTCAAAGTGATACAGATTTGTACAAATTACTTTTGAACTTGAATGTTTTACTAGCAAAAAATGATAGCAAGAAAATTTCAACCTTGCTAGTGACTACAGGTGAAATATATATTTTAAAGTAGTTAAAACAATAAATAAATTCTAAATTACAATTGGTTCAATAACATGTTATTCATAGAACTCTACTGATAAATATATTTTTGCATAAAATACATGCCACTGATTCTCATAAATTTACCTTTTGTAAAGTTTCACCAGAAAAAATATAGTATTTTTTGGAAGTAATGTGGTTAAGAAATTAAGGAATGATGTTTCTTACTGGATTCAATATGTACTAAAATAGCACTTACTCAAAGTGCCAGAAAAGGTTTTATTTAGAGATAATATTGTTGGGTAACTGAACGAAAACATTTATTTTAATCTTCATCTTACCAGGTACTAGATATACACATACTAGATAAGAATAGACATGCCACCATTACTTAAAGAATATTAAATATCAGAAAAATACACGGCAAGCAAATCATTAAAGAAAGTTTCATGATAATTTGGGAACAATGGTCAATAGTTGTCTGATATATAATGACTTTGCCCATCAGGTTGGCTTTCCTGAAATCCCTCACGGCAAATTTAAATCCGAAGGTTTGTTGTACATAATCTTTTTCAACATGTGTTTGTGTGTGTGTGTGACAGAGAGGAAGAATCAAGACCATAATCATGTGGAAAAATATTCAAAGCGATTTTCCAATTCAAATTTTACTGCAGTTTAAAGGAAAATGGCTATGCTTATTCATTCAATATCTTCCAG